TTAAAAAGAAAATGTGTTTCCAAAGTATTGCTTGATGAATTCGATCCAGTCAATTCTTATCATGAGCGTCACTAAAGTCGAAATTCTGGAGTAGCAAAAATAATTATCTGCAAAAAATTTGCTATTTAAATTAAGTTTTTTTCGTAATATAGCATTTTTTGGAGTAGTAAATTTACCCTTCGATATCTCTTAATGACTATCATTTTTGTATTCCCAAATGATAGGATTCCAAAGCTGGTAATTTTTTTGTCATTTAATTAAATACTAACATATTTGACCTCTCAGGACATAGTACCTATATGTATTCAGTATTCAAGGTTGCTACGCACTCACTTTTTATCACTATTCTAATTTTATATTTATGACTTATGGTTACCAAAAGTAAAAAAGTGAAAAGGATGGTCTCCCAAGGTTGGGGTAATAGTAATTGAGTCAGAAAACTCATTATCATCCTAACATTTTAAACCCACAATTCGGAAGACTCTTTGTAAGTAATATAAAAATTAAGTATATGGTAATAAGTTAATAATATGTTTTTGAGTATAGTTGATAAACATTTTAATTAAATTATTTTTAATGTTCGTCTAATTACCACAGCATTTACCAAAACAGTTGTCAGCATGTATTATAAACCTCAGCTATAAATATCAAAACAGTTATCACACCAATGATAGAAACGACGGTCTAATATCTAAAAAATGTCTCTACCAATTGTGTTTTTAAGACAATTATATAAACCTGGGTCCATATTAAGGGCCGTGTGTAGATATATGTCTCAGTAGTGTTCAGAAAATAAACCTATATTAAAATTGTTGAGATAGAAGAGTTGATTTCCCTTCTATGTTCCTCTGGTAGACAATTTTATTTCAGTGCCACCCAGTAAAAATTACTTAAAATATGCTCTGATAGTAATACAACCTAACTGAGTTAAAAAGAATCATTGACTTTCCCATGGTTCGCATATATTCTGGATAATAAATGTTGAATGACGTAGAAAGTTTTCATCGTCATTACAATACCTAGTCAATTTTACTCAACACCTATGTGGGTTACATAGTTTTTGAAGGAAAAATTACAAATTCAATTAAAACAAATTTTAAATGTTATTTATGTTCAGTAAATAGACGCCGTAATTAAACAAAATTGCTTAGACAAATGTTGGAAAGAATGTAAAAAATCCAGAAATCGTTTTGAATATTTTAATCAAATAGACATAAAATATCATTGCAATAAATTAGTATAGGTAAGAGGTAACGGACTGGCAATAACATTAAAATTCATAAAATAAAAAGACAAATTTAATTTAAATTTTAAACTAAATGAACAAAAAATAAGCATTTGAACAGGTGTTATTTTTTTGTATTTTTTTTTTGTTAAGCTTTGAGACTTACTATTATAATGTACGCAAACGATTTCTATGTTAGAGTCACATGAGGTGGGGCATAAATATTATACCACATTTCCCCCTAATTTCTAAAGGTTTTAAAATTACTATTATATATTTTATTTACTTGTGATATAAATGAAAATACTAAATATAATATGGCTATATACTATAGACAATTAATAAAAACAAAATATAGTCTTAACGAATATTTTGTTGGGCGTACGATCTAACAAAATCGTAGATACGTATAATCGAATAATTCGAATATTAGTTGGCATACTTCAAGTAAATATTATTATTAATTTTACCTGCAATATTTTTTTTCTCATCAAAACTTCCTTTATAATATTTTCTTTTCTCGTCGTTTCTGTAAGCTCCATCTCCACCGCTTCTTTCTTTTCCACAATTAATATTGTTGACATAGGTAGTAGGTATGTACCTATAAATACATAATAGATATATCATTATAGTTCATAATTATTATATTATTATTTATTATTATAGTCGATCTTACTCAAATATTGAACACACATTTCATCGCGCGCGAACTATATTACGGTAGGTGCGTTTAAAACACGTTTTAAATGTTTGAAAGCTTAAAATCGATACTCATGACACGACATTATTTTGACTGTAACATATGACACAAGTGCGTTTACACTGAAATACAATAATTTATTGTATTGGACCCGAACACAAACGTCGAAGCGAACAGCTAAGTGAAGACTGATTCCGTAGACCGTATAGACGTATAGTACCGACAATACTTGGTCACTATAGTCCGTAGTCCGTACCGCTGTACCCACTCAGTGACTTGTGTAATAATTTCATATCGGAATAATTAAGAGTTTAGTTATTTGTATGCTATATATTTCCCAGTTTTATTGCGCATATTTCCAAACGGATATAGGTCTCACACTCACATTCCCATGATAGATGGACTGATTATATTTTAATATCTCATACCGATATCTAGACTACAATAACATATATGATATACCTACATTGCACATCGACCGAATCATTATAAATTATATAATATTATATTGGGTTATTACATATTGCATTGGTTCTTTTTTTCTCGTGTACCAATATAGTTTCTACATTACTATTCGGAAAGCTTATAATTAATTTGTGACCTGAAATACTGAAATACGTTGCGATAATAACGGCTAGGACAATATTATTTCCAATTATTTATTATTTTATAATTTATATTATAATTTTATTATTTATAAATATTAAATACTGTTGTATGCAGGATGCCAATTTCCCAGAACGCCCTGGGCCGTGACCGAATCGCCCTCATTAATTTGATACGACCGTGATCGATAACGATATTCCTACACCACTACACTATATACATTGTAATCAGGGCTTGCAAACGTTATAATAACGTTATATTTGACAAAAAAACGATTGAAATTTATTAGCACAATTATAATGGAAAGCGATAATCAAAAATAATTAAATACCTACTGCAAAACAAAATATAACGATTGACAAAATTTATTATAAATCATTAAATAATACATAGCGCAAAACAATATAGCAAATTCTGAGTAAAGAATTCATAAGACTTATTCTTTTTAAATCTAATATTTTAAAATGTAATACAAGATTCATTTCAAGATTATCTACCTTTATCAAAAAAAAAAAAATGCCAATAAGAAAGTCAAATTAAATTTTTATAAGCGTTTGAAATTCAAATTTTTACAACATAGGATATTCACTCGATTTCTCATTTAGCGATTTTTTTATTTTGTTGCAATTCAAAAACGAATAACTGTAGAGTGTAGATACATGAAAATTTCACTGAATATTTATATTAGCATTTTCTATACTTACACCATACAATTTTGAAAATATGTTGACTCTTTTTGAGCTGTTTACGGACATTTTCAGTTTTTAATTTTTTTAGTTTTTTTTTCTATAAATATCAATAAAGTTTTATCTGTTGCGCCAAAAAGTGTAAAAATTTAATACAAGGCTCCTGATATATTATTACAATATCAGTTGAAAAATATTAAAAATACATATTCACAATTTTTTTTTATAACATTTAAAGATAAAATTTTGACAAAATTTATCAAATTTAAAATTGAATTATTATTTTTTAGTTAAAAATTTATAAAATGTTCAACTTTTATATCTAAGGATTGAAAATTTAAAACAAGATTTCACGTAAGTAGTTAATTCTGTTACCAAAAAATCTAAAAAATACATAAGCAAATTTTATTTTTATAGTCATTTTCAGTCACACGCGGACAGCCAAGCTGAATGCACACGTTTTTATGCCTCCGTGTTATGTTTAAAGTAGTGTCGTTTAAACTTGTCGGAAATTTTCGTACTTTATATCAATCGACGCAGTTTTTTAGTGAAGCTGTGACCCCAGTGTCTACCAGCTGCAAAAATCAATCTTCATTTGTGGAAATAGATTTAAGTTTACTAAGTATACGTGCAAGCCCGGATTAAGGGGGGGGCAGGGGGGGGCCATGGCCCCCGGGCCTCCATTTATTTAGGGGCCTCAGATTTGTCCATTATAGGCTATAACACCGCATAAATCACTTTAAAAAAATCGATGATTATTTAGCGAGGAAAAAAGCTTGTAAATTATAATTTATAAATAAAATGATACTTAATTCTTGATTTATTGCTATGTACCTAATACCTATATATATTTATTATAACAGGTACCTATATATTAATATACATTATTTTTTTTTTCGTACAAGGGCCTCATTTAAACTTTGGCCCCTGGGCCTCAAAATGTCTTAATCCGGGCTTGTATACGTGCATGGTTATATAATATACCTAATCACACTTCAAGGCATCGCCGCGGCGGTGACCTTTGTCCACGCGATTACGACAATATTAGATATTAATATTATAATCTACGTACTCGACTTTAATTAATCGATTTCGTAGTCCGTAAAAACTTATCTATCAACACAGTAAACATTTAAATATGGATAACCGTAAACAAAATAATACAAATAATAATAACAAGACTAAAAATGCAATTGTAATTAAATCCAAGCCACCGAAGAAACCTGCCAATAATGATAATAAACGTAATCACTCAAGCTCGTCCAATTCAGAACCATCGTCACCAAATTTACTTCAACATGTAAGCAAAAAATTATTTGTGACTCAAAATCGGTTTGAATTATTAAAATCAACCGAACCAGCTGATGAAATTACTGAAACTATTATAGAGGAAAAGCAGTCTGCTGATCCAGTTCTCACTTACTCTAAACCACCCCCTCCAATCTTCATGCGAGGCGTATTAGACTTCCCCGATGTTTGTACAGAATTAATCGAATTAATCGGTGTCGATAACTTTATTTGCAAGTCAACGGCTGATCATTTAAAAATCCAAACCTCCAATCCCGGAGCAATTAGAACATTAGTCCAATACTTAAGAAATGAACATGCTCAATTCCATACATTCCAGCTAAAGGAAGATAAGCC